AATTATAGAAGAAGAAGAAGAAATGTCCACAACGAATCATGCGTTTTTTCACTTAACCTCTGTTTCCTCGCACAATGGGTTTATCATTAATAGGTTGGCCAATGGTGGGTTTATAGTCTGAAGCCTATAGTTGCAAGGTGCTCGAGTTGTGGCTGAGATTAACGCTTTCAAACACGGAAACTAACAAACTCTTCAGCTTTACAGTATTTGTATAAGTGCATAAAAAAAAAAATATTATTCATTATATATGGTATACGTATAACATAAGCACAATTCATCGCGAGGGTAGTTTGACCGTACCTTTTTTTTCTTTTTCACAACAAACTTTTCTATCTCGTCTTTATTTATATCTTAAAATGAGTGAAGATTTTTTCCCGTTTTATGGACGAGAAACTGAAGTAAACTCGTTAAGACCTTTCGTTTTTTCCTCGTGTTTGGTTTTTGCTAATTAAAACTGTCTGCTCTCGCCGAACCCGCAGCCGAGTGACACGAGACAGATCGCGAGTACGAAGCTACCGTACACCGCATCGACCGACAGGTGAATTAGCGATGACCACAAGCGACGAGCCGAGTCGTAGAAGGGTCGATCGCGAATTCGGTGCAGGTGCCCCGACTTCGGATCGGATTATTGAATGTCTAATCCCCCTTTATTACTTCCCGATAAAACCCCTAATTGTTCTCACTCAAACTCGCATAATAACCCTCAATCCGAACCTTTTCCCTCGCGATACCTTCATTTTATAGAGAAACTTTTTGCTACTTTTGTTGAGCACGTCGAAACCTATAAATTATCATTTTTCATTGACTTTAAAACTATTCGAACGAATTTGTTATATAGGGTACGACGACGGATAAAAACGGCTTCAGTTATTTTTCCCAAAACCAGTGAAGATATAGATCAAATCTAGAAAGTTATGGGGGTCTGAATCGTTCCAGACGCACCTAGCTCGCAGTCAGCTCAAATTGAAACTCTAGATAGATCTAAGTTCTTAGTTTTCATTAGCCTCCCCTCTCTCCGAGTCACTCGAGCGTTCTAGATAAGTTTTATTGCTTAAAACTTTGCCACAATTTTCATCGGATACTTTTGGGTTTATTCGCCTCGCACCTTTTAATTTACGTCCGTTAGAATTTATTTGTATGTGCTACACAGTGAGTAGAACATTGTCCTTACGATATACTCTAAATATACCGTAAAACTACTAATGTCTACTGTGCAGAGGCGTGAATGGTTGCCAATCGAAAACTTAAAAGTGCGCCAACCGTGACCGTCTTTTTGCAAACCGAAAACAAAACCAATTAGCTCACTGAATGCGCCTGCAAAAAGTGCAAATCTGTCGAAACCATAATTTCGCACACAGAGCGAGCAAAACGTCCATTTTTCCCCATGTCCGTCCGTCCGCACGTGAGTCGAATCGAATCATTTTTTCTTATTTGCCCCGATTGATTGGGCTTCGCGGCTTCTCGCAAACAATGCTTTTCAGGTAGCCTAAACGTTTTCCGATGTTCGATTCGAAACATCGAAATTGTTTTTAGAGCAAACATTTTTTGTAAAATGTAAAAATAAACTCAGGCTATCTCAGATTCAAGTATTAATAATTATCAAGACTATTAAAAAATATGATTAATTATGTGTACCAGATAATAAATCCTGTTAAACTCGCCTCTGACAAAATTGGAGTCCAAACTTTCTGCAGTGTAATTAAAATTTGATTCTTTCGATGAAATCTCCATCTACAAGTTTTAGAAGTTCTGAAGAAAAGTTTATGTGTCGTAACATAGGTGCAACGTACTAACATTTTAGGTAAAGCTACCATAAAACGTATTGATAAAATAAAAAGCTAGTGTTTTCTCGCGGGAAAAAGAATTGAAGAAAGTACTTCATGGAATAGAGCCCATACGCGCGGAGCGTGTAATAGTGCGTAACAATGATTCCACCTGCGACGGACGTCGGGGCGGGCGGAAATCGGAAACAAATCACTCGTTAGGCAGATCATACGCTCGGCGACGATAACCATTTATTATGTTCAAAGCCCAGGATCGTTCAGAAATTGATCGGGTAGAAAAGACAGAAATGATAAAAAAGTTTAACTCAAAACTAATAATTTTGGAAGCAGCGACTTAAATTTCGCCGTATGATAGTTTCGGGTGACCCTGCGTCTCACCGCTCGCTCGCAGGTCCGCCACACAACCGTTCGCTTCCCGGGACCCTGCTTGTAAAAACTCGTGTCACGTCGGATTCGGCGGAAGGTAGGGCCAATAAAAATGTATAGAGGGATTTGTCGGAGGAATAAACTCCATATTCCAGCGCCGACGGCTCGCATCGACAATTAATGAATTATTACATTATGTGAACAATACGTGAGCACTTTACTTCTCTTTATATTATCACTCCTTTAGCTGAGAAAGTAATGAGGCATAGTTTCTAATTGCCATTTCGATGCGTCACACTCGAATCATTTTATTACGAGCAATGCATTTTTACATTTCCCTCCTGCTTTGTCCTGTCGCTGTCAGATTATTTAGTGGTTCGCGTTCATTATGCGAGATCGGGGTGCGAGGGCCGGTCAGGTGAGTCGTCCAATTTAGGGGTTTACGCTTAATTAAAAACGTCACACAGAACACATAATGTAAATGACTTCTTGCCAAACCACCGAAGCAAGGCAAAGTTATTCATCGTAATAACTCTTAATACTAAACAAGAATATTTGCAAACTGTATTTTCACGATGGTTAATTCCTGCGCGTCGTTTGTCCCCGAATTAATCAGATTATCGCAATGTTTCGCTCTTCGTTCAGACGACTCGGCTTTCCTTACTGAATTATTCATCGCCTCGTAACTTCCTGAGGTGTTCTGCGTCTTTTAGTGTTCACGCTTAGAACGGAGGTGCCCCAGGTTTAGCCAGAGCGGTGCGTTGCGGCAAATTGGAAAACGCGCCCTCTCGTGGAATGCCACTTGACGGCCGTGTACTAAGTGTACCTTTCCTGTTTAATCAATGTAACAATATAATTTTATTTTACATACCTTTGTACTTTTCGAAACGCAGCATATAAAATATCTATCCTTGTCAAAGAAAAGGTACATATTGTAATGGATTCGATCAGCTCGAGTGAAGAGTTAGCTTCTTGTGAACTACAGACAGACGGACTCGTCCAATATAAATGTAAATCGAACTGCCCACCGATAGGCAAAGATTAAAAACATAGACATAATATTTTATTCACGGCGCTAACGTGTTTGTTTTCCAATTTTGTAAGAAAAAGCTCAAAATATAGGTAGTAAGTGACGTTTGGATTAAGCGAAAATAAATATCTAATCAAAAAATATCCCATTCATCATGGGGACAGGCTAAACGAACCTGGTTCATATATATTTCGAATTGGAAAATCATATTTTTTTCATATTGGCTCACCAACGTTTATTTCGTATCTAAAAATTTTACAATCTGTGTCCCCTCAGATAGAAAACGTGCGTCCAGATTCACGTGAGCTCATGCATAAAGAAATGCCGCAACGCCACCTGCCGTCCATTTGTTGAATATTTCAAGTGTCTTTTTATGAATAGTAATATCACGTTTTAAAGTTTATTTTATTATAAAACACAATGTAATTACATACACACGTAATACAAAAAAAGCAGCGTTAGCTTTCGACGATTCAGAACCGAAATCCGTAATGCGAAGCATAATACGGCCGTATACAAACCTGGCCCGACGCCAAGCTACATCACAACTTACCTGTTAATTTTCTTGCTTTTTTACTGCATTTTGCCATTTTATGATACAAACTATACCATTGGCAAGCGACCGCACTATTGATTTACCGTAATGTTGCCAGAAAATGTGTCTCATACATATGCACGGAGATCGGGCTTTTTGTACTAGAATTTTTGAGGTACCTTTGAGGTAAACGGGTAAACGGTCATTTCGTTTCGAGTCGAACTCAGTACAAAGTAATCGTAAGAATAATTTTGCTCTATACGGTTTGTGGCGTTTTCAGGCCGGTCGCGGCGTCGCTTCGCGGGACGCGTACGATCTGAGTTCTTATCGCTGAACGATTAATTTACGGACCAGTTTGCTGTATCGGAAATTGTCAATGGAGTGCGCTAAACCTCGCCGTCTCGTCACGGTTTGGCGAGTGACACGCCGACGCGCGAGTGATTTGTCGATCTGCACTGCCGATTGTGGAATACGAGGATGTTTACTATTTAGGTCTCTCAGTGTGACGTTCGAAAAAATCACGAAGAACCTTTTACACTCCGCAGCTTCAAGAGGACGCTAATAATAGGGAGACGACGGCTCTCGTCTAGACCGAGTTAATTTTCCAAATACCTGCGTACAAAGAGATGGCGACGTGAAGGACATTTTTGCTAGCCACAATAGACGGAAAGAAAAGACAGAATTTCAGTTATGTCGAGCGGACAGGTGCAAACGGCTTTGTGTGGCGAACGAAATAAACGGACCTTAAAATCTTCCGAGCTTCTATAACTATATATAAAGCATAACAATATTTACTTAATTCAAACGTTTATCCATTGTTTATAAGAAAGTGTTCAAAGAATCGCTGAGACAAGTTTAAAATATTGAAGAAAAAGACCGAAGCGTCGAGCTTTGCCTGAAAATTATTGTAATAATATATTAATAGCAGTTTTTATAATTTCGTTCACATTCGAAGCTAGAGAAGAGATTATATGTAACCACAGTCTCCCACCTTCGAGAGGATTTAGTTGCCCGAGCCATTTAATGGCGTCTTAACTTTGCTCATACGCTCGCTATACGGGAGAAGGCACGTTTCCATTGTCTTAGGAATGTTAAAATAGTGTTCTCTTTTACTCGAGGCACGTGTATATATTAGATTCGGCTGACGCACGATGTGATTTTACTTAACAATAAGGATTTTTTAAAGGTTATGCAACTAATAAGGCTGTTTGAGTACTGAAATTTACGCATTTCACTTATTCACACTGCGGACGAATCTTACTCTTGTCACTGCGTTTCGAGAAGATCAGAGCGATGGAAACGAGTGCGAGACGCGCGAGGCCATCGAGTCTTCTCGTCGCTCCTCGGCGGCTAGTCTCGCTTTCCGCGTGTACCCACACCTTACCTCAACTCTCCAGTTCATAAGCGGATAGCACTCCCGGCAAACTTTTAAGGCTGTTATAGTTTGCATATGACAAAACAATGGGTGACGCAGTGTAGCATGACAGCGTATGGCTAAACCGCTCTTATCCTGTCGCGACATAGAAGCAATAATCACTTATAGTCATAGTAAAACGTTATAATTTTAATATATGTATATAATTATTTTTTGGTATAAATTAGACTGAATTAAAAAATGTAAAACGAAACATTTGAAAAATAAAACGACCCACATTCCTGTTAAGCTCGCGAACGATACATCTTCCCCCTGAATATTCCTTTTTTTCTTTTGATCGTAAGACATTACTTAGCGAATTGACTGTAGGTACTATTTGTAAGGCCGTTTTGCCTGTACTTATTAGACTTTTCTAGCTTTATTTGACGTCCGAGAGTTAAATCTCGTAAGCTCGTAACTTGCAGCAACGCAACGAATAAAGGTTAGCCAGACGGGCTTTAACTAATCTTATTATTGTGGAGATCGCTCAGTACCGTGTGCCAAGTGCCAGGATCTGGTGATCGAGCTACCCGCAAGGATTAGACCCCCACTTTAGTATTTACCTGGCTTTTACGACTAATTGGGTAGACGTCAGTATTACACCATTTATAGCCTTTTCGTAACAAACACTAACATTCCAATGATTCAATAATGATTTTAAATAATATAATTAACCAATAAAGTGCGTAACCAAAAAAAAGTATGAAATGAGGGTAGAATAGACAAATAACTATTTATGTATTCTCTTACATCCTTTAACACACTGATATTCAATCGACAATGCTGTAATATTGAAGTGACTTCAGTAATCGGGTCCCACATAGTGTTTTAATCTATTATTATCTGTTAAAACTTACCATAATAAATAAATAAAAATAAATATAAAACAATATTTAGTGGTAAATTATGTTAGTCGCCACCGGTGGTTGCAAAAAAAACGGTCGCACGGGTATCGAATACGCGCACTATCAGCACTTTCCCCGTAGTGGCACACCTTAGGGCTGTCGCCTAATAGAGTGCAGCTTAGGGCCGGCACAACTAAAATAGTTCGCTCGAGTACAAATACACTGTTGACTATACTATCTATACAACACTAGAGGGTCGTAGCCACTCGATGCTACGCAGCTCGCTACGAGAAACGTCAGCACTGTACGAGTGTCAAAGTCGCTTCAAAAGAAGTATGTATTATGAATAACAACAAGGTTCATTGTCTGCTTTTTACTTCCGAAAAACGCTCGTTATTTACGTAACATTTCCATTGAATCGCTTTTGATAGCGAATAAATCTGTCTGTCCATCGCGCCCGGTGATATATTGCCGTCAGCGTGCGATAGGTGATGATCATCAGTCAAGATTATTGCTATTATCGCCGTTCGCCTGTACGGTATCGTGAAGCGGGGAGACGTACCGGGTAGATTTTCGACGCGAACATTTGACATCATTTTGCGTACGGCAAGGTCTCAAAACAATGGTCCTTTTAAACGATTACAAAGTCGTGTACCTATAAATCGCGCAAACACGTCCCCACGACTCCACGAGTAACATAAATAAGACAACACTCGCCATAACCGTGCGTATCGTTTGCAGAAAATATTTGCATGTAAAGCAGAAAGGCAATCCACTTAGAGACTCTTACCTGCACGACGCCCCACTTAAATGTCGCGCTGTCGGGACAGGACAGAGAAGCTACGGAGACAAATTTGTCGCTCGATTCTTTTGTGCCGCGCAATGAACTCATCGCGGACTATCCTTGGTCCTACAAGATCTTACTTTGTTTGTGTAAAGTGAAATAGTAGAGCTATTTACGGCTCCGCCCGAGGTCTCCAATTACACCATGGCCCGCAGCGTGTCGAACTCGTCGCGCGCCACTCCGTTCCTTCCTTAGAACACAATTTGTCGAGGACTTACCTCTTCATAAAGGGGGTTGGAATTTTTCTTTATTGTGCGGATTATTGAGCAGCCCTGAGAGGTTTATCTGAAGATGGCCGATTTTACGACATTATCAAACTTCGACGTTATTAAGTTATTGTTCACATAATGTTAGGGCCGCGCTGTGCAGAATAAAGGTATGCCGCTTTTCGCGTTCCTCTTTAGCTTTCGATCTAACGTACGCTTTTCGCACATTTTTTTTTAAATTAACTTGTTTTTCTTAATTCCCCGAACAAGTAACTTACATAGTAGCCATTCGGCCATTTGCGAGGTATTTATTTATTTTTTCAATAATAATAGGAAAATAACTTGAAGATGTGTATTCTCTTGGTACAAGTTGCATTCACCTCGTGTGGGCGTTGGCGAGGAAGGCCAATAAATTATCATTAGTGTGCACAGGCAAGAGGTTGCAACTAACTCAACCTAGAATCGTGGATGCGGTATAAAAACTGTACTCACATCTTTTTGTCCTAATAAACGTTCTTATTCACACTATGTACAAAATGTGACGTGATCTTCTTAAAAACATATCTATACTGATATATAAAGCTAAGGAGTTTGTTCGTTTATTTTAACGCGCTAATATTAGGAACGACTGGTTCGAATTGAAAAATTATTTTTGTGTTAGAGCATTTATCGGCTATAAAACATTGCGTTGTGACTAATAGGAGCAAAGAAAGAGTTCAAAATGTGGAAGAGACGGGGAAAATTATTAATATTTTTGGGTTTCCGATGAGTACGCTGCGAAAACGGTTTAAGATACCCAAAAAATAAACAGAAAAGAATTATTCAGTTTTAAATTATTTCAAAAATGCTTTCAATATTTTATTTCTATCTTTTAAGATAACCTTGCAAGAACGACGGGACGTGTCTAACAGCTTAAATTTGTGAAGAGGTTTGCAAAAACATGTTTGGATGCCGAAAATAACAATACGGCTCGCTGCTTTCATTTAAATAAAAAAATGGTTACCCGGAACATTATTCGTTGTACGTAATGAATTAAGTATCACGAGTATGAACGCTACGGGAAAGAAGCGATGTGGCACATGTGTGAGGAGTGGAAGCGAAAGCCTTGCACTCACGTCCGCCCTGATTGCGCCTATTGTCGTCTCTGTTAGCTAACTTATTTTACTTACATTTTTAACTCCGCGAAATTGATCTCACTTGTTTGCGCGAGATATGCGTATGAAGTGGACCATTTCAAGGCTATATGTGATAGTACAAGTTTTAAATTGAACAGATACGGCTTCGTAGCTCTCTCGGGAGGAGAGCACAAATTGAAAGTCAGCCGACGGTAAACGGCCTCGACGTTGATTTGTTGACCGTTTTTACGCAGAAATACAGCCAGACTTAGACAAATGTATTTATTTTAAAAGCATTCATGAAATCGCACCGTACGCGGCGTCCGCGAGACGAAGCGAAGCAGTGGAGTATAATATTTTACAGTTTCGCATCACTCGCGATGACGATAGAGGCAAAGTTATAGATGAAAGAAAACACATTAATCAAATCGTGAAATCGTCCATCATTCTCCAGTCATTAGTGAGTTCAGGTGTTTTTTATCTGTAAGCTGAAAAGTAATCGACAGGAGAATTAATGTGCCGGCACTAACTTGGACTTCGCCTGCCACTTTTAAAGACCTCTCTTTTACTTAATTTTTACATCGTTGTAAGATGTAACTGTTTTAGTGATGTGACCGAGTGTCGATTATAATCGAAATAAATATTCATTAACATATAATATGTATACTAATATTATATAGCTGAATACTTTGTTTGTTTGAACGCGCTAATCTCAGGAACTACTGGTTCGTATTGAAAAATGATTTGTGTTGGTTTGAGCATTTGTCAAGGAAGGCTTTAGGTTATAAAACATTTCACTGCGACCAATGGGAGGGAAGAAACAGCGGGATATTTCAAAGAAACGGAAAAAATGTTCATCTGAGGGTTTTCGTTGCGTGTGCTCTGAAAACGCTTTAAGATTATTATGCATACAAAAAGTAAGTAAAAATAACTATTCTACGCGGACGTTGTTGCTGGCACATTATATGATTAGATTGTTCAGTACAGGAAACAATGATTCTTCTTTTGTCGCTTCTTTTATTGTTTTAAATTACTACTAGTTAATTAATTTTATCGAAATAGATATAAAAAAGTTCTCCCCTACCCGTAAAACCTATTAATAACTTGCGGCTGTGAAACTTTTAAAAGTGTTTGCTCCACCTTGTCGAGAGGTGTCGGATTCGTTTTGACCATTAATTATTTGCTACGACTCGCAAATCTGGGGATATTGTTAGATTTTTTTTACATTTTCTTAAATTATTAAGGGTACTCGGTCTACATTACACTTTTTTATGGCGAATAAGAAATTTAACGTTGCCACGAGTCCATGGGTACTTTTTAAGTCTACTGCTAAGTGCACTTCGAAAGGGCACGAAATGGTGTTGTCAAATGAAAGGCGAAACAGATGCAGGGTTAAAAGCAATAATCATTTATAATAAATCGTAGAGGATAAAAGGGGACATTGCGTGGAATAAAAGATATTTCGCAATTAGATATAAAGTGCATAATTCTAATACCAAAACATTCCAAAACAGGTGTGACCGTTATTTTCGAGCGGTTCCTCGACTTCCTCATTTACTTAATGTCACAAGCACTTCTTGCAAGCGAAAATTAAATATAGCAGGACATATTCTGGAATCTTTTCGGCTACGGCATTTAGAACCTTGGAGCTACTTAATTAGAGGTTGGGAACATTGCAACACAATATTGTTAGGGCCTTCTGGAGTAGGCTATGATTGTGACAGGTTAGTGAGGTGGTGCGGTGATGGTGCTTGAAAATTCTAAGAAACTCAACTGTTTTTCCGTATTGTTTCGACAATGTTGGAACTGAAGAGGCTTTCGGTTTTGGAGACTATTTAAACATGCAGGCACATTACAACCCCCGTTATCGTATACTTATATACCCTCACTTGTCAATATAATGTTACTCCATTCAACCATTTGTAATTGGAACCTTAACAATATCCAAGTTAAATAATATCTACTTAGTGTTGTGCAAGCTATCGATATCGCAAGGTGTCGGCTGTTAAGGCGCACGACGCTTGCCATGGCACGTTCGGTATCGACGGACGAGGCAAGTGTTGTTTTAGGCGTGTATTATATCACCTGAATATCGATATTATTTTTATTTACGGTTATTACCTTTCAACACCCTCGATGACTGACCCGGGAACACGTAGTCTCCTTAAAGCAGCAATTAAGACAATGTGTTTAAGTCTTAACCGTTTGGAAGCAAAATTGCTTGATTCTTTTCTTTGTAAATAGTAGTTTATAAAACAGGGTAAATAACAACAAAGGTGTTTTAAAATGATTTTACCTAATTATATTCTTTGCATCGACAACCGGTGGGCACATCCCTTGGTCTGACACCTTGTAGAATATATTACTTCGTGCTACCGAATCTAATCACGATCTGACGGATGAATATCTGCCGTGTGTTCCGTTAACCCGCCGGCCATTTTATAATAACGGACTTTTTACGCACGACCACGCCTCTGTGACCCAGACTTAAAGTCTAATTTGGCGCAGGCGTTCGTTCTGGCGAACGTTGGGTTCGCCCAAATCTCTCGCGAAGATTCATTATTATACCGACTCAGTTCGATTGTTGTTCTGCGTAGGAACGGATTAGGAGAGCGTTGTTAAATGAAGATAATTGTTTTTTAATTTATAAGAATGGTGTTGAGATACGAGATAACAGAACGACTAATTCCCGATCGGACTTGCGGACTTCGACCGATACTTTTATTTTACAAAAAAAGGTCTCGTGAAATTTTTACAACGAAATTTTAACTTGATATTTTGGCCTGTGATTATTAAATCCGGGAAACGTAAATTAACTCTTACATAATGAAAATCTTAACCCCTTCAATCTTAAAGGAGATAACACAATGTGACGGAAGGAAGATAAAAGTTTCGCTACAGCACGTCACGGCGACACCGCGAAACATAATTTTAACTTATAAAAAGATTTCCACTCCACAAAGGTGGAAATTTTTATCCGAGAAACGGGCACCTGCTTCGCTAAGTTTGCGAAACTTTGGAGAACTTTGTAAAACTTCGCGCAGGATGTTGTTATCGGCCGGAAGCGCTTTAGGCGACTTCCTGTTTTGACGGACGAGAAAAAACCGCCTAATGTAGTTTATATGAAAAGTTGTTTGAGGATCGATGCGTTCGCGATCTTACTTTAGATCTTTCTACTTTAGATTAAGAAATGCGTTTTAATTATTTTTAAATAAAAATAAAACTCTCTGCAAAGTCTCTTCTGTAAGACCTTTGTAAGTAGAAAACAAAAATACTAGAGAAGGATAGATAAGTGTGGGTTCATTTTGATATATCCTAGTCATATAACATCTTGCCGAGATGCCGTCGACCTACTTTAGCTTTGGTTATTCGAAAAACCGAAACGCGATTTAATTTCACAGTCTTTTCATTTGTGGACGGTGGTTCGTAAACATTGCGGTCATTTAAAAATATACAGATTTCCAGCCGAAATTCAACTTGTTGCAGAAAAATATTATTAAGTGATTTGAAACATGATGGACTCAGTGGCTATCGAACTCACGAGCCGTTTGATTGTTGGCTATGCATCGTTTGCATTTATACATAATTTACCAGTGTTTTTATTCACACCGTTTACATATTTTTACACAGATGGCAGTACAAGTTCACTTCGGCCTATATTGAAATTGAAAAGAATGGCATGGCATGGCATAAAGTCAAACTTAACAAATTTTTGAAAAGCGCGATA